TTTACGCAATTCAGTTTTTTAACTGCTATGTATTAACGAATATATTAAACTTCAAACTTCAAACTTAAGACTCATTTGATAAAACCAAAAATTCTTGATTGACACTTATTTTGTCGATGGGAGAAAGGCAACAGTGTATCCTCATGAGCACTGATGGCATGCGTTATTTTCTTGTTGCAGATTGTCTACTTCATGTTCCTGTTAGTTTTCTGTTACGTGATTTTAGTTCGTCTTCCGGTGACTCCTCCTCCCCAAGAAATCATCCTCATCATATTTGTATTTACACTTTTCACAGAGGAAGTCAGGCAGGCATGTGCCAATTTAACTTTTCTTATTTATTTTTCTTATTTATTTTTCCATTAAACCCCACGTTTGATATGTTTTGTGCTAAAGTGAGAGAGATACAAAGTGGTCTTTCATGGTTTCATATGATTCGTTTGGCTTTGCTCTTGTTCTTGAAAGTTCCTCTCGAGATCGTTCTTTAGATCTATGTTGGCACTCACAGAGCTACGATAGCTTCACTCTTCCCAAGGAGTTTACTATGAAGCCTCACATATCATGTTGGACGTGGGTAATTGAGTTTATTTATCAGGCAAAGGAATGATACTAGCCGAGTGATTGCAATTTAAGCAAACGCAGAAAAGAAGCCTATAAATTCAGGCATCGACAGGATTGGAACATGTGTCTCCCAGATAGTAGTTGGGAACTACCACTAAACTGGGATACGGAGCCACAAGTTGGGAGAGAGGAACATTTTAGAGAGTTCAGCTTTCATCAGAGAGCGTTGTGACGTTAAACCAAAAGAATCTCGTATGACTTTTGACACTCGAACGTATCGAAGATTTTCCTAACCTTTCAAACAATGCACGATCAACCTACTTGACAACGTTCCTTAAGGGTAATTTTTTCTCATCTTCCTTTCCTTTACACATCGACAGGTACTCCATTCGGAATCTAAGAGTCTACTCAAGAAATTCAAAGAATGGGGTTCCTGCAAATGGAATTTGTGTGACGGCTGTGCCATTCTGTTATTCTTTGTCGCTGCTGGTTTTCGCTTGAACCCAGAAACTCTCAAGATAGGTCACATGCTCTACTGCCTCGACATCATGTTGTGGATCATCCGGGTTCTCGATATTTTCTCGTTTAGCAAAGTTCTTGGACCTTATGTCGTTATGATTGGTCGAATGGTACGTACAGCTAAATGATTCGGGTGTAGAAATGATACNGCAATTTTACTAATTGCAGAAAAGAAGCATGAAAGGATTTAAACTTCAACGGGCCTCGAACCTGGGCCTCTCGGGTACTACTTGGGTACCACTACCAATTGAGCTCTGAAGTCACAGGTTGGGAGTGAAGCAAAAATTGTGACTATGAAGCGATAATGAACCCAAAGTTTGGGACTTGTTTGTTTGCTGTCTCTGTAAAACCACAACTGTGCGAAGTCCCCTTGATAATCGTTACCGATCACTTAGGTGAGGGTAGCACTGAACTAAAAAACAATTGGTTTCGGCGAGAGCGTGAGCGTTAAATGCCGGTTGTTGCCAGATTTCATCAACTACTGTGACCTACTAGGACGGTCATTGTGTGTTGTTTTACTTTTCAGCTGTTTTTTGTTTTTGTTTTTGTAGAGAATCAAAACAACACAGCGTTCAACACACCTCGTTTTGATGCATTTGGTGGAACACTCGTGACTGTCATAATGGCACTGTATCTGTTGGTCGCTAATATTTTACTGCTCAATCTCCTCATCGCTATTTTCAAGTAAGTCACGGGAACAGCTGGTTAGAGGGCTCGCTGATACCTTTTAGTGTGCTTCATTTGAACTACTTTTCCACACTTACTGATTGTAAAAAGTTCAACATACCTTTTGATAGCCTTTATTTTCTTATAACTTTTTCTGGGAATAGATGCTTTGACGGTAAGTGTCCGCATCAAGTGTTCCAGAGCCGAAGTTTAGGACATTTTTCAACTGAGCCACTGCCAACATTATTCCCCTATCTGCCCTTTGTATCCAAGTTTATCCACAGAAAACTCTTGTACAAAGCGATTGTAATTTACAATTTCATCGACGCTATAAATGTTCAAGACCTTTCACTTGGCGATTTTTTCAGAAAACAGTACTTTTTAGTAAATAAAACTAGGCTGTGTGGGTCAGTTCATTTTTAATCAGCTTTCTATTTCCACAGAATGTTCAAAGTAAGGACATTTTATTCGCAAGCCACAGTGTTATATGTATGATTATAGGTTTTTAGTTTAACTGGTTGACGCGCTCTATATCTATTCCGTGACAGAACAGCCTAATATTGTTTTTCTTAAACAAAATAAAATGAAAACATAAGCTTTTCTTGATGCTAGGGTTTAAAGGAGCAGTAGATTTCTCAGTGTCCGTGACTGATGGCAGATTTGTGCTTCGTGTCAATCAACTATCATGCGATGGAAATCAAGAGCGCATAATTTAATTCTTAGATATAGGATTGCTTCGAAAGGGAAACTTACATACATCATCTATGATCTTGGTTCTCTTTTTTTTTATCCGTCAGCAACACGTTTTCCAATGTTCAAGCCAACTCAAACCAGATCTGGAAATTTCAGCGGTATCAGTTGATCATGGAGTATGCGCATAGACCTGTGTTGGTGCCTCCGTTCATTATCATCAATCATCTGCATGTGATAAATATAAGGATGTGCATGGGATTGAACAGTCGCGCTCTCAACGTTAAAAAAGATCTGGACTATTTTTCAATAAGGACAAAATTAACCGCGATGAAGGGTTTGTTTTTTTGCATCGTGTGAATTTCTTGGGCTGATTTAGAGCCACTTCGCTCGGTTCTAGTTAGTCTCCTTTGCCCTCTACATAATCCCTTCAAAGACACGTCTGCGAGTTACGCCAATCAAGCTCATCCGGCTTCGCACCGGACACCCCGATCACCACAATCACCCCGTAATTCCACGTGTATCACGGGTGATGATGTTACTTTACGCTAGTGTTCCTCATTCCACGGTCATGTACAATGAACTGGAATTAAAGGCCGCCAATTCCAGCCTGAAGGTTTGCTGAGAGCCTTCGAACGGGGCCGGACGTAATATGAATATCGCGGTTGCCAATCGTTAAAGCTTTCAAATAATGCTGGTTTAAATTACTTGCGTTCGCGGATGACTGCGAATTGCTCTTTATGACCCTTGTACGATGAATGTCGCCACAAAGAAAGTCAGTCAACCATCTCTGGTTGGACGTCAAGTCCGTTAGTAAGTAAAGTAAGTAGTAGTAAAGTAAAGTTTATTGACAGTGTTTGCACAGAGTGGCTCTTCATCTGTCACTAACTAAATACATTATAGCATCAACTAAAACCTATTTAATATTTACAATCATAAATTTAAAATAGCTAAACATTCCAGTCTCTATACACTTAAAACTTAAATTGATTTAAAATTACTTAAGGCGTGCCTTCGCCCGGTTTTTTAAGTATATAAATAAACGCGATGCAAAAATATGCAAATCCTCACAGGTCATTAAATATAAATGAGGCTGCTGAGAAACGTTAAAAAAATTGAAAAGTTTATCTGCAGTTTTGAATGTTCCCATTTCAAATTTGTTTAAATACTTACTGCGTCTCCTTGCTCGTTCAGTCTTAAGTATCTTTTAATCTTTGGAAAAGTGGCTCTCGACCCGATTTTTCCTTTCGGTTTTCCAGACGGCTTGTTCGTTCAATCTTAAAATCAAATAACGTTCAATGAAGGGTTTTCGACACTTTATAGATTCTTTACGTCTGTGATCAATGCTAAAAATCAATCAAATGTAAAAGAGTCAGCTGCTAATCTACTTAAAAGACGATATGTTTGGCTGTGTTTTGTCTCGTTTTGAAGTAAAAATTAAACATTGCAGGTCTGTTTAAAAGATTAAATTAAAAAAAAAAAAAAAAGAAAAAAGAAAAAAACCTACTACATCTGTTTTAGGGAAAACAAGTTACTCTATCATTTTCTTTCCCTTTGCAATGGTAGGTACTTTTATTGAAGAACTACCCGAAAATCAAATTAAATTGAACCCGAGCGGCAAAGAAAGCTAATTCTTAATGATCTCATTTACAAAGCTTGTTGTAGACCGCGCTGTTGCGTCAAGAAAAACAAATTGAAACGGAAAAGGGCAGACAAAAAACTAAGTGAGTGGCCAAATCAAAAGATCTCATCTCGCTAACTGTGAAGCGATTTATTGATAACATTCGAAAACAAAAAACACATGGTGTACAGGAGTAAATTATTTTAATGGTGTCAATGTAAAAGCGATCCCCTGGCTAGCGGCTTCCACATTCAAAGTTACATCAAAATGTATG